AATCGAAATAATTTATTGAGATCGGGGCGAACGGGCTCCTTCGGAAATTACAAGATCAACGAAATTTGTTATACTTCAGTAACAATACCAATACGAAGATTGATTTTTCCTAAACATTTCTATTGGAAACAAACACATTTTGCCGATTAATGATAATAGGGGATGAAGTTGATTATTATTACACATGAAGTATGCTGTCTTTCTTTTTTTATCGCAAAAGAAAATACGTACATATTATTCTTCTTGAGCAGGACTCGGCTCTAGGATTTTAACCTTAACGGTTTGTCGAATAGTATTACCTCCGCCTATTTTTTTTCTAGTCCCATTATTATGTCGCTAGAGAAACCGTCCAAGAAGGAGTTGCATCACGTTCGCTATAATAAAAAACGTAGGCTCGAAAAGAATAAAATTCGACCTTACCAGCAGAGTATAATGAGCATGTTCTAACAACGACGAACCGGGTATATATGATTTCAAATTTTTTTATAGTATTAGTGTGTAAGAGTCCCTTTTGCGTTGATAGGTCAACTACCTCAGGTTCCTTATTACGAGTATACTTGGTTATGCAAAAATTTCGTTTTTACTATTGAGACGATAGGACCTCTGACTTTGTATTTGTGTTGTAGAAATCGCATAATCACTGTAGTAGTGGCTCAATACTTGGGCTGGGGTGGTTCCGCAAAAAATAAAAGGAAGCTTATGAGTTAATACACATTATATATCAATGCATTCCATGCATTAGCATAGGACCCAATTCATTATTATTTTTTCTTTGATAGTTCAAAACATATTTAGATAAAATTAAAAAGAATGAAGAGAAATCAATTCATGATTTTAGATATGATATATTGTTGAAGAAAAGTGGCTTTACTATTTTGGTTAACATTGCATTGCTTTTAACAGATGTAGAGTTCCGAATTCATTACCAGCATAGGATAGTTATCTTTGATAACTAGTATGTGCATAAGAATTATTGAGGTCGTTATATACTTTGGAGAGCTAAGATCTCGAATTCTGTTTCGTAGAATAACTAATCGAACTCTTCGAATATCTTCAGCTGAAAAGCAAGAGACGATGATCGCTTTGCATAGCAATTCCTCACTATTCCACCAACACATGAAAATATTGTCATGTATAATCATGCATAATGTGTCATAAAAAATAAATTGCAAGATTTTCCCATTATGATTTTCCATTTTTCATATTTTCTTGAGATTTAGCAAGATACGAATTGTCTAGAATATATTCACGTAAGAGTCATTCTAATTTGTCGAGTCTATCTTCCACAGAAACTGACGTTTTTTCGTCATCACCAGCAACAGTTGGTAGTTTTGGGCCATCATCAGGGACAGTCGGTATTTTTGGGCCAAGTGTTGTAATTAGCTTTTTTTGAATTGGCCCTCTGATTTTGAAGCAGTTTTGGCAGATACCCCATGGTTTTATTCGATCCATTTTTAATATTTTAGAAAAGGATTTTATAGCTTAATTAAATAAAATAAAAAAGATTAAGATTAAGAAATAAACATACCAAAAATCAGATGATAATGGTCATGCTAAGGCCGAAAGCACCACCAAAAGCACTAATCAAGCCTAGAAGCTAAATTATTAAAATTTGATTATAGCGATAGGTTGATTATCTAAAGAAACAATTTATATAAATCAAAAACTTACATCCTTATTTCTTTAATATTACCAAAAAAGATATATCGAAATATTAAATTTTACGCTTAGTAAATAAATATTCAACTACGACATTTTAATCTGATAAATAAATACCTTTGTTGTTTTATGGTCTGTACTTCGTATGTTAACAGACTTATCATCAAAGACTAATAAAAAGATTCTTGAAACGTTTGATAAATTTAACTATTTCTAAAATAATAGTTTGGTTATATAATTAAATTTAAAGCAATATATTAAAATTAAATTATAATATAATATATTAATAATGAAACTTACGAAATTTTGTTTCAATGAAATAATCATTTTTATAATCAGGTGGAGGGGCTCCAAAAACATTTTTTGGACTATTCGAAAGACTTGCATTTTTGAATCTTTTGAAACTGATTAAAAATCAATAATATTATAGAAAATGAAATTTATTAGAAAATTATGGGCATTATAAAAACACAATTTCTTTTATTATATTCGTACCTGTGCGAAGAAAGTAAATACTCATTCTGTTAATAAAGCTGCTCAAACAAATCGTATTGATTATATTCTTTTTATTAACTCCAAAAATCGAATCTAAGAGATTTTATAGAGAATTCAAATTTATATTCAGGCATTCCAAATATATTTAAGCATTTAAATTTACCATGATCAAACAAGTCAGCATACAAGAGTACACCAGAGTTAATGAAACTTTTCTAAGAATTAGTTAATTAGAGATTAAACTCAATCAAGCTGAGCCCATCAATGAAGTTAGAGAAGACATTATTGTCGTATGTGTAAAATTCCACTCTGTATTCATTCGATTTTGGTAAAAATTTAGAGGTGGGTATTTTTACTCTTCTTCATTTCATGCATCAATCGTTTGACAAACACATGTGAACGACGACGACTTCCACTC